ACTGGGCTGCAAAGAGACACATAACACAATAAGCTAAGTATATTTTTACAGATTTTTTTTTTTTTACCATCCGTTTAGCTGATACTGTTCAGTCTGAAAACAACCCCCTTAACAATAACACCCAATAATTGAGTTATAAATAGATGTAAAACAGTAGGGAAAGGTACATCACCATATGTGGCATTTGCAAATTGTATGGGATGACTTCATTATTAGCATACAGCTTGCCCCATGATCATTATAAATCATTTCATTGATGAGATAATAATAATGGCTTATGATATTATGCCCTTGTCCATTGTCACAGCTTTCCAGAACAGCTCAGAAGGAAGAGAAAAACATCTAACAGAATTTGTATCTTTCCTTTGGTTATATGTTCATAGCAATCTGCACTCATAAAAATTTTTTACAAAAGCAAGAAATTATAAAACTCCTTCGAAAATAAATTACTGAGAAATCAATCCACATTTGTAAAAACTGTTGATCAGAATTATTGGAGTGAGCTTTATGCATTTAAAAACCTTGGCTATTATATGTGGTATTCAGAAGAGAAAGAAAGCAAAAGGGTAAAGCTTTCTCCATTATTGAGCCCATATGGTGTGTCAAGTGCTTGACATAACCTCCCTTCCTTGATCCTCATAGACACCCTGCAAGAAAGACGCTACTGACATCACAGAGACTGAAAAAACTGAGGCTCAACAATGAGTAGGGGAGGTAAGAGTGAACCTAAATCCAACTTGGCACCTTCCATCATCACCCTTACATAATCTACCTGAAATAAACTTGGAAGGAATGGTGAATTAAAAAGTTAGTAACCAGCATTTTTACCATCGTGTTGACATGTATGGATTCAAGCATTGAAATGTTCAGGACAGACCCCCATGAATATTTTATTTGGGATTCTGAAGAGAGGGTAACAGACTACTCAAGTCCCCAGGTACTTGCCATCTAGATCAGAGCTTCTCAAAACTATCTGTGATGAAGAACTTTTTTTTTTAATTTCCAGTCTACTGCATGTCACTATTTCGTAAATTGCAGTACAAATAAATAATTATAAAAATGAAATTAAGATGTAAAGTAAGGTACATGGAATACAAGCTCAGTTAATTTAATTTTTAATAATTACATTTGACAAACATCACAGGTTTAGATAGATCAGCAACGTCAAAATTCTGTAAAAATTTCTAAATACTTGTGTTGTTAAGGATGAATGATAAGCAGTTCTCAAAATGGCTGATGTCCACAGGCCACACCCTGATTATGAGATCTAGAGAACTTGGTGGAGGCCCATTGCTTGCTTAGCGGTTGTCTGATGCACACTTAGGCAGTGTATGAATTTCAGAGATTCCCCAATTCTAGGCCACTATTTTGGAAACTGGTGAAAATTTACCAATTTTACCAATTTGCACAACTGCTGGTGATTAAAAGTAAACAGAACTTTTTAGTCATTTCATAGCACAGCCTGATGTGTTAGAATACTCAACATAGTCTTTGTTGTTCAAGTTCCTTCCAGCCCATGTCATTAAATTGTTCTTTGGAGAAAAAAAAACTGTTTTTGATTGCTCTGAGCATTGGACAATTTATTCCTAAAGTTTTGCTTTTAAAATTAAACCATTATAGTAGCCAGGCATGGTGGCACACACCTGTAATCCCAGAGGCTCTGTGTGAGGCAGGAGGATTGTAAATTCAAAGCCAGCCTCAGCAACTGAGCAAGTCTATAAGCAACTCAGCAAGACCCTGTCGTTAAATAAAATATAAAAAAGGGCTGAGAATGTGGCCCAGTGGTTACTCCTCTGGGTTCAATCCCTGGTACCAAAAAAGAAAGAAAGAAAGAAAAAGAAAAAGAAACCACTACATGATTGTTTATCTTAAAATAAACCTTTAGAAATAAAGTTGTTTTTTTTTTTTAATGTATTCTCAACCCTTGTCACTTTGGAATTGTCATTTGAAAAGCAATATAGTTTCCTTTGTCAATGCACAGACTCAGGTCCCTTTCTGGTCATAAACTAGCAATGTTTATTCTGTAAGCAATTTTCTATTAGTACATTTAAAAAACCCTAAAAAATTGGAATGCAATATGAATAAATACTATGTCAATTATAACATTATATACATAATTTTAAGGCTCATGGTCTTCTTTTATAAGCCTGACTATTAATTGACAAAAAAAAAACTTAGATTTACATATAAATGCTTTCATAATAACAGTGTTATTTTAACCAATAAGTGTAACATTTAGAAGGGTAAAAATAAACAGCAGTCTACTCATATGGAACTTTTTCTTCTTCAAGGAAACATTGTTAGAGCTAACAATTATGCTGCTTTCAGAGTAAAATGATTTCCTTTTAGGTTGTGTTTCTGGATATGTAGGTGGATATGTCAGCAAATGTAAATTTCAAAATTTAAGTGGAATTTCAACTGTGCTATGTCATTGACACATATTTAATTATTCCAGATTATCAGAGTTTCATCTCTAAAGTCTCAACATCAAATATCAGTTAGTTTAATAATAGAGAATGAAGGGCATGAAAATATTAATATTTTATTTTCAAATTACATTCAGTATGTGATTTATTATCACATAATACCAAATATGTAATAGTAAATTTAGAAATAATATTAAACTTGCAATATAAAATGAGAATGCAAGAATTTAGTTTTTTCTTCTTATTTTTCTTGTGGTTGTTACTAAAAAATAATCACAAGAATTTAGTTTTTTCTTCTTATTTTTCTTGTGGTTGTTACTAAAAAATAATCACAAGTGAAAAATGTGCTAGAACATGGTGCTGTTGCAAATCATGTTTGGATATTTAAATTATGATTTTATTTTTATTAATTCTATCATAAAAATCAAATTTGTATTGAACACTTTAAATAGACTGATTAATTATGACCATATAGAAAATAAAAGCACTAATTTTTCAGAATTTCCAGTGGTATCCAGGTGATCTTAAATTATTGATCTTAAATTAGTTATTTTTAAAGAACACACACACACAAACACACACACACAGGAACACACACACACATACACACACCCTGCTTGGTATCCTAGTTAATGAGATAATAACAACAATTATGATAGTATTTCATCATTTGTAAAAGAAGCAGCATTTGCACATTTGTTGCCATTAGCAGAATGACTTTTTAATGGATATTGCAATGTCTTATATCATATAATCAGACTGAGATTCAGTCTATCCTGCCAAACACAAAATTAAACAACATGTTTCTGTCTTACTGAACTGTTTATTCCACTTCCTTAAAGAGCTGAAAAAGAAAAGCATGGTTTCTTCCCAATTACATGTTTATGCAACAAATATCTTTGTCATATTGCTGTGATCCACCCCACTTTTTTCCTTATGTTACACTAGAAGTATTAAAGAGATTAGATTTTGCCCATTGCAAACCTTTATTTTCTTCAAAGGCAAATATATTCACTTAACGAAAAGCATGCTACCTTGCAAAAGTTTAAAAATTAAAAAGAATGAGTAAATTTTTAAAACACATTGTTGGACTAATGGGAAGAAAATTGGAGACAGGGCCTCTGTGTGACTTAGCAGCAATTATGTGAAAAGATTTTTAGCTTCTAGAAGAACACACTGAAATATGGTAATGGTGAAAAAAAGTGGCAGAAAGTTAAAATCAAGTTAAGGAAAGTTAGCTAGTTAAAGGAAGGGGTGGTCTTATGTTCTTTCACTGTACCATGCCTGGTTTCAGCTTCATGAACCATATTTTAAGAAGGTGATGGATAGAATCTACACCCTCCAAAGGAAGAAGCACAGGAGTCTGGATATTAATCTATCAACTTTTGATTGATTTAAGCAAAAGTTTCAACTGGTAGCTGAGACACAGAATCTGACCATTCAAACATGTTTTATTTGTTGTGGAAAGTATTGAACTGTACAATGATTTAAGTTTAGAATAGATATGCATATTTAAAAATAAGGAGATTTCACATACAAACCAAATTTCAGGAATTAAAAAATCTGGCAACAACAGGCCCATATTTTTCCCCTCGGCAGCAACTGATTAAAGCTGAGAGCTGCTGCCTACAGTATTTAGATAAGGTATAAATTCTCCACCTTGTCTTAGCTGTGTCTCTTTCTGTTACCTCTCACTCTAGCTAAATTTACACATTCGTGGCAACTCAGCGTGCAAAGGTGTAAGTTTGTGACAGATCTCTGAGTGGAGCTCTGAAGATGTGTGGGCTAGATAGACAAGAGGTGTTATCACCATGCTTTCCAATTATTTACAGATTGTTACACAGATGAGAAAAGGACTTTTAAGTTTTTAGAGAAAGCATAAGTAAGTCTTAAATGTGGAGTTTAGAGGAACATGGGTTTTAAGATAACACACACACACACACACAAAATAGCATCCTTTGGGATAGAGTTATTTAACAATAGACAAGTCTTTTTATTTTTTTCAGAAATGAGTATGTTTACTTTAATTAAAGATACGAGGTAAAAGCTAGGTAAAAAAAAAATTATCATTTGTCCATTTAGTCCAGAAAATTAGTGATTTCATATAAATTTATTTTATTTTATCATTGTGTACAAGAGCAGTTCAATTTTAGTTATTATGTTGTTTCTCAACTGAATTATTTTTGGCCTTTTCTTAAAATGCTCTCCATCTCTCAGATACCATATGAGAGAGGAAAATATGACATGTAAAAGACAAAATTTTAGTGATTGTTCAGAATTTTCCACTTTTAATATTAATCTCCTTCTTATTTGATGGTCTAAGCTATGGTAAAATCCTTATAAGCAAGAAATTGTTGAATAGAAACTTAGTACTATAGTTTGAGGGGTTGGGTATATGGCTCAAGCAGTAAGTAGTGAGCTCGCCTGGCATGCGTGGGGTGCTGGGTTTTATCCTCAGCACCACATAAAAATAAAATAAAGATGTTGTGTCCACCAAAAAACTAAAAAATAAATATTAAAAAGTTCTCTCTCTCTCTCTCTCTCTCTAAAAAAAAAAAAAGAAAAAAGAAAAAAAAAGAAAGAAAGGCCTTGTTCCCAGCACGACACTATTGGGGGAAGACCTTTATGAAATGGGACGTAGTAGGAGGGAGATTGTAGGTCATTGGGGGCAAGCTCTTGAGAGGGATGTTGGGATCCTGGCCCTTCCTCTACCTTTTGCTTTGGAGCCACTGTGAAGTGAGTAACTTGCTCCATGTGCACTCCTGCCATGGTGTACGGCCTTGCAGAGGCCCCAAATCAATATGGCCAACAAACCACCGATCTCTAAAATAAGCCTTTCCTTTTTAAAGATGATTAACTCAGGTATTTTTGTTTTAGTATGGAAAGCTGAGTAACACAGTGAGACAGTAAGTCATAAAGCTTGGATGTGATTACATTTTCTTCAGAAACAGTGAATTCACAGGTATTGGATAGAATGAGGTTAGTTTTGGCCAAAGACCATTGTAAATTAAAAACATTAATATACTTCCTTTAATAACCAATTGTCCCAGATATAGAATATACTATTTGATATAACTATATAATATAATCCATAGCTATATAATATTACAATATGATAATTATCATATAATAATGTTTACATATGTATATACATATGTGTGTGTGTGTGTGTAGTGTATACTCTAGATTGTGATTTCCAACCTGTTTAAATGCACCAGTGTCAATTTTGCTGAAATATTTTCAGATTTGTAAACTTGAACTTAATGGGTTTTAAAAGACAGGTAGAAAGTTCTTAACACTATTTATGAAGTATGTGTCTTTAAAAATCTAGAATGGAATTTTGCCAAGCTCTGAATCTGAATAGCAGTTTATAGGACTTATGGGAAACAGAAGATCAAAGTGACCACACCTCAAGAAAACCATCATGACTCTATAAAGCAATAGACCCATTTCTCTAATTAGGCAATGTATAAAATGAAAAGAGAGGTCAAGTGAGGAGAGTGGGAAGGGAGACCATCAGAAAATAAAGAAATATAGTAGTCATCCAAATGAAATAAAATAAGTAGTCTTGTCTGATCACATGTCACCCAAAAGAACTCAAAATATTTATGAGTCAAATGGGAAGTTTTGAGTGAAGACTGGTATAAAATACAAAGGAAAAGATAGTTTCCACCATGTAAAAATTCATCAGGCATAGGATATTTGCATATTGTTGAAGTTTCATTCCACATATGATTTATTAATTATAATAGGAAAGGGCACATTTAAAATGGAGAAATCTGGTGAGCATAGCATTAACCAAATGAGCAAACATAACATCATCAATAATGTAGCATATTGCTTGATGTGGTGCATCCATGTAATATTCCTACAAAAAAAAAAAAGAAATTAAATACTAACTGAAATCTAATCATGAGGCAAAGACACATGAAAATTGAAGGCTACTTTCAAAATATTGCCTGTGTTATTTTAAAATATTAAAAGACAAAATGAAAAAAAAATGAAGTTTTGGGTAGTGTTCTAAAATAAGGGAGAAGTGCACAATGTGATCCTTGATAGGCTTGTGGATTAGAGCAATTAACAGTTATATAGAGTACTGTTGAGACCATTGAATGTCATTAAATAGAAATGAATATTAGCAAATTATATCATATTAACTCTAAACTCTCTGAGAGTGATCATTTTCTTGTGATTTTATAGGAGAATTCCAGCTTCTTCAGAGACTTATTCTTAAGTAATATGTACTATCATGATATTTGAAATTAATCCTCACTTGGTTTCAGAAGATAGAGTGAGAGAAAGAGTCTGTGCAAGTAGAATTAAAAAAGAAAGAAGGAGCAAATGTGGTCACATTGCAGCAATTGTTAAATGTAAGTGAAGAGAGTGCTTCTTTTGCATTATCCTGGCAACTTTTCTGAAATTAGATATTTTGCAACATCTCAATGGTGATGGTGAGAAGTAATTATTTTAATTAGATAGAGTATGATCATTGAATAGTAGCTATATTAAAAATAAGAGTCTATCAATTCAAGATGAATGCTGAAGGAACAATAACATAATGTCTGAGAATGCCTTTAAAATACTACAGTTTAAAAAAAAGTGGTGGGAGAATAAATAAAACAGAATTGCAGCTGGGTAATCAATATGTGGAGCCTCATTTAAAATCTGTTTAAAGACTGATTTTCAGAATGTTTTATTAGAACAATTTTTCACCATACTTTTCTGTTTGTTTGTTTGTTTAACTGTAATTTCAAAAGCAGTTTTGGATACAATTTTTGATGTGTAAAAGTAAAGATTTAGAATCAAATGTTAGAGAGTACATAATGTAATTTAGGGGCATTATTCAGAGTAGGTTAAAGACAAGTTACAAGAAATTTCTGATAGACTTTCATATTCACAGGAAGAATAAAGGAAGAAAATCAGAAAGTCACACTTTTAGACTGGAAAGGGCACTTCTTCTCAAATAAGAAACATTCTAATTGTAGGGTAACACTCTGTTATGTTGTATAGTAGGAATCAAGATTATTATCAGAAGACAGACTTTACCATAACTATTTTCGTTTCTCCTAAATATATCCTTTCTAGAATAAAATGGGGCATATTCAATTATGCTGTGTTTTCATAACATACCACAAATATAAGTTTTCTTTCTATAAATGTTACTGGTCATAAGGAAACAAAGCTCCTTGTGCTAACCCAGTAGAGGATAAAAGTATTTTTCACATAATTCCAGAAAAAAATATGCAAAGAGAAGGATTTTGTTTGTTCCTTGGAAATGCTCAATATTTCAGTAGTGCAGAAATAAGTTATAAATTTCTAATAATCAGGTACTAAATTATAAAATGTTGTAATAAGAATTTAAAAGCATTATTACTAGATACAGTTCTTAAGCAGTTGATTTTATAGGAAATACACAATATTTTCTTTCAACTCTGCACACACTCATGCACATTTCAGATGGTATGCTCAACTTTTTATTGTTTTTGACATATAGTTAGAATTATTATCAAGAGTAGAAAAAAAAATTTTACTGTATTCTCTGTACACCGAACTGGGACACAAATATTAAAAAAAAAAAAAAGCAATGAGAAAGAATACAATGACAACATATAAATCAAAGCTTTAAAATTATATCCCTATGCTTCCAAAATTTCATGGTAAGTCTTCTTAAAAATTAAATTATAAGTTTTACTGACTTACTAGTGATTATTTAGACGTCCTTTTTCTTTGAACAGTCATTACTAGATATTAATATTCAGAGTTAAGTATTTTGTTTATCCTAAGAACAGACAAGTTTTATTTTTTAAAATAGTTTTTCTTTTGTAACAATCCTGCCAAAATTTATTTCTATTATTGCATATCAATCAAGTTTTGCTCATAATGTTACTAATGGGGTCTAAAATACCTTATTACATTGCCCAAGACCCACAAATGTTCAGTCTTCCAAATGAAAAGTCATTTTAAACAATCATTTAAATAATTAAAAGTATTTTTTAGAATGTTTTATTTATTAAATGTTTAAAAAATGGTGTGGTTTGGATTTTGACATAAACAATGCTACACTGAGAAAAAGACTTTGTTGGAACCATCTGCTTCACAACTCACAAATATATTTCCATTAGTAATTCTAATTGGGGGGGGGAGACTTATGTCCAAAAAAAATGCATCAAAACAAAAATAATCTAGTTTTACACTTCTTATAATTTCAAGAATAATGAGTATAATGCTCATATTGGTTTCATGATTTTAATAGTTTTTAAAAATATAGGCTCAAATTTTCTAAACAGTGGTTAGCATCTATCCGTATCCTCTGTGTTTTATAAAATAAACTAATTCTCATGTTTAAAAGTGTAGTTCCAAAGTGAATTGTATAGAGAGGATGAATATAAACAGTAATGCTGCAAATACCTCCAGTCAAATGATGTCCTTAACCTTATAGGAGAGAGAACTTGGGCCCCATGAATGGGCTTGTGATTCTTTAAGTGTTTCCTCTAATAATAATGATCTTTGTTTTCTTTTCTTTTCTTTCTTTCTTTCTTTCTTTCTTTCTTTCTTTCTTTTTTCTTTTTCAAGGAAAATTGAGGTTGATGGTAGTTTTTCTTGGCTTTGAAGATATTCAAGGAATGTAAAAAATAGCAAGACTCTTTGTGTATTCCCTTCTCTCCCCAGAATTGAACATGTAACAGCCATGCCACAACCTGAGATCAAAAAAGCCACCAAAGACCATTCCCAATTCTCTTAGATTCTCCAGAAGATACAAAATTTGACAGGAATCAGAAATCAAAATATCTAGAAAATATCATTTTATTTGAACTTACTCGCTAAATTCATGCATTCCACAAATACTTGTCAAGATTTGCTATGAGCCACACACTCTAGTATGTGTTGAAATAATCAATTGTGAGTAACAGCCATGGTCTCTGTGCCTGAGAAGTTTCAGTCTAAGAAGAAATTCCACATTGACCAAATAAGTGCAAGTGAGATGCATATTATGAGCCTCAGGTGAAGGCTTCTGGGATGCTGTGAGGGCTACCTGATGAAATAGGACTTCATCAATCATAGGGCTAGTGATTGGAAAGATCTTTGACAGAAAAAAGGGGAGAGTACAAACAAAATGTGGAGATTGACTTCAACATTAGAGTAGAATGCATGTCAAGAAAGAAAGGTGAAGTTGAAAAGATTATAAAAATGAACAAAACTCTTTTTTAAAACTACTCTGAGACATAAAATTTTTTTCTGAGTTATATTTTCAGTGAAACATAACATACAAAAAAGTCAAGTTCAATCATTTATTTCTGAATCATAATCCTATATAAAAGAGGGAAAAGATAGTGTCCAGTGATAGTGTGTATTGATATATCCCTGTAACTCACAATCTTTTTTTCAGAATTATATGAATAATGCCCAAACAATGACATTGATGACAATTGCTTAATCTGAACTTTTGCTTTACTTACTTATATTAAGCTTAATTATTTGATTTTCTACTGTTTCTTAATCTGGACATAATTCAAAGAGAACCATTCTAGATGGAAAATCTGATCTATTGTTTGAGTAGAAGAATATCTAATTTAAAAAATACTTTGTGTATATTATGAAAGTTTTGAATGTTCTTCCCAGAGAGAGAGAGAGAGACAGAAATTTTATAGGGCGACACCTCTTCAAGGACTCATTAGTTAGAAAGACCTATGGTAGAAGATGTCATTTATCAAGTTAAAGATTGGAGCTTCACGATATTAATCTCCTTTAAGAAAAATCCCACATTCTTTATAAATGAATAAATAATCTCTTCTCCTATAAAGTGTAAAAAATAATTGATACGATGAAGCAAATTCTTTTATGACAGCCTTGTCTTTGAGTCCTAGGTCCTTAGAAACTCACAACAAGGAAAGGCAGCACCTGCTAAAACAAAAGAAGAGCATGGGGACCACAGCAAGTGGACAGCTCAAAAACCACATCCTAAAGGAGCTGCTGCAGGCACCCTGCCAGAAACACCCAGAGAATCTGCAGGACATCTTGCTTCTGTCAGGATCTGCTAACCTTAACAAACCCTTACAAGCCCTTGAAGACCCCAACCCCTGAGGACAAGGGAGACACCTGAGGACAAGGGAGACACCTTTCAAGGAGTCCAGACCCTCTCCTGTCTTGGACAGTAAATAAAATAGTTAATTGCCAATTGCTCTCTGCCTGCAAATCTTTGCACCCGGCAAGCACCATCTCTATTTGAACCACCTTAACAATAATCTGGTAGAACAATGTGATTATCAGCACCTGGAACATTTAAATTTAATTCAAACGGTTCTCAAAAAATAATTGATTTTTTTTTTTTTTTGGTACTGGGAATGAACTCAGGGGCACTCAACCACCACTGAGCTACATCCCCAGCCCTATTTTGTATTTTATTTAGAGATAGGGTCTCACTGAGTTGCTTAACACCAGCTGAGGCTACCTTTGAACTTGCAGTCCTCCTGTCTCAGCCTCCCAAGCCGATGGAATTACTGGTGTGGAACATTTTTTAACAAGAATTTTTTGTTACTATCCCAGTAACTCCATCTAATAACAATACTACCCAAGTCTACATAAGCATATAATTTCTCTAGAATTATAGGTACTAGGCTGAGATGAAATAAATACAGTTAGTATAAACAATCATATTCTTTCGAACTTAAAATATGTGTATTTAGAAATAAATATTTTGAGCTGGGTGTGGTGATAAACACCTGTAATCTCAGTGGCTGGGGGAGGCTGAGGCTGGAGCATCTTGAGTTCAAAGCCAGCCTCAGCAACAGTGAGGTGCTAAGCAACTCAGTGAGACTCTGTCTCTAAATAAAATACAAAACAGGGCTGGGGATGTGGCTCAGTGGTTGAATGTCCCTGAGTTCAATTCTTGGTACCCCCCCATCCCCCTCCCCCCCCAAAAAAAGAAAGAAATATTTTGAAAGTATTATGTCAATTAACAAAACTAATATTCAAAGACTGATTCGATACAATCTTCCAAATTCTCATCATTAGGCAAAGAGTATAGTGTATTTCTACTATAAAAGAAATTACAAAAGAAAAAAGAAAAAAATTAATGGAGGAAATTTTTCAGAAGAGAAAAGCAGCTACCAATTAGAGTTATCAGTCTTATTCATGACTAGGTTGAAAATAACTAACAGGCATCTTTTCCTCCCATGAGTACTTTAAGAAAATAGAGCCATAACTTTAAATTATTTCTACAAGATTTATTTTGAATAGCAGGATGCCACAAACCTTGTTCTAAATACTAGCAATTTCAATTGTAGCTTACATGATTTCTTCATTTCTTAAGTTGATTTCGGTGTGTATTGAGTAGGACTCTAAATACACAGAGCATTTGCTTTTGTAATTTAAAAATGTCTGACCTTTACACCACATGAGTTTGCAGTTTAATTATATGATGGTACTAACAAGACTACAAAATGAAACCACTCAATAGAAAAACGTACGTGCAATATAATGTTGCACGCTGTGAAGTATAGCCAATATTACACAGTATGACTCCTCAAACATCTGAGAAATCATTCAACAGAATTAAAGCTTTTAAGAACAGAGATTTTTTAAGAGCAAATAAGGTCAAAACTTCATTAAGGGGCATAAGACACAGTCTGGCATTATTCATCAGTATAGAATATAAATCTTTAGTGACAGTTCTTAGCAGTTAAGGCAAACATTTGCATAACAGTTCGCTTAACATAGATCAAATTAATAATAGAAAGAATTATTTAAGCTCTGCCAAATGATTTCATTACAGCCTTTATAATGAAATCTTGTTGAAAAGGGGATGGTGTGAAAAAAGTCCAAATTCGTACTTTAATAATTATTTCTAAGCACTTTGAAAATGAAGAACATACTGTAAAACAAAAGGAACCCATGTTTTGGCTTCTATAATAATGTGGCTTTTACATGAGAAAACAAAATTTCCTAGTACCAAGTTTGTATTTAGCCTATTACTTGGTGATTTTTATCTATTATTTATAACAAATCCCTCAAAACTTATAGGTTGAAAACAATGATGACATATTATTTCCCATGATTCTGCAGGTTGCCTGGGCTCTTCTACACTGTACAATGTCTACTAGGATCACTCTGGTGCTATAGTCAGCAGGGCAGCTGAGATAACAGGTTCAGGAAGGCCTCCCTAACATATTGGGTCTTGGCAGTGGCTAATGGTGGGGGCCTTGGTTATTCTTAAGTGTTGCTAGCACTCCAAGTGATTCTGCTTCCTTCAGGTCTCTTCACTTGGCCTCTCACTCCAGTAGGTGAATAGAAATTAATTTACAACATGACACTTGAGTTTCCAAGGAAAGCAGTCTGAGAGGTCCTCACCATGAAGTATACATCAGAATTTTGCCTGCATCATTTTGCTAATATCTCACTGACAAAAACTTTGAATTGACCAATCCCAGCATCACTGTACAAGGCGCTAGAAGGACATAAAGACTGGGGTCATCTTCATTGCCTCTCCCCTATGTAGCAGTCTGCCAGACATAAGATGTCTTTTCACCTGCAGAATAAAGTCTATGAGACTGAATTTCCATTCTTCTGTATCCCTCTGTGATAAGAAGAAAAAAATTCTATCATTTCCCATTTTTTTTACATCTTATACAAACCAATTTTGTAATATGAAATATTTCAAGCAAAGAGTATTTAATTTTTAGAGAAAACTTTTGTTACTTTTCAATAAATCCAGGAGATCATGTCTAAAATCAAATGTTAAAATGGCTTATTTTCTGGATATATAGGCATTTATTTAATCCATTCTCTCTTTTTTATTTAAAAACTGATTTTTAAATATAACAAAATCAGTTACACCTACATTAACATTCTTCCAGAAGCTTATAATGATTACATTTCTTCTCTAGAAATAATTCTTACACAAAAAGATGGCCCAACTTTACATATCCTCCTCTACTCAGAGAAGCTTTTGTTGTTGTTGTTTGAGAACTGTGATATTACTACTAGTAGTACTACTAATAACAATAATAATAACAACACACAAAATAAAAAGTGAACACAGTGATTGTTTCACTGAAAGCAGTCAAACACCTGCATCAACCATAAATTTGCTTAAATGCATTGCCAAATTTGCCAGGGTATTCTTACTAGGATAATCATATAAAAAAATTAAATGAAGGAATGAACTAGGACATGTTGCTGATTGCTCTAATAGGTGTTTGTCTTGAGTCATTTGAACCAGGTGAACATGTGTTTTGGTTTACTTTTAAAGACTACAGGAGTCACTAAGGGTAGTGCAGAGCACAAGTAGTAGGCTACTTGTGTTAGGGAGTCTAAAAGAAGATACTCCCTTGCCATAGGTACTAAAGGGTTACAACCACTTTATGTGGTGACTTAAAAATATACAAAACCTTACCCAAAAATACTACAGGGAAAGTTGCTTGTCTTAACTTTGTTTTGAATAGAGAAGGTAAAACAACTTCCATAAGAATTCTTTACCCACCAGGCATAGTGGTGTGTGCCTATAATCCCAGAGGCTCAGGAAGCTAAGGCAGGAGCCTTGAGTTCAAAGACAGCCTCAGCAAAAGCCAGGAACTAAGCAAATCAGTGAGATCCTATCTCTAAACAAAATATGGTTCAGTGGTCGAGTGCCCCTGAGTTCAAGCCCTGAGGAGCGGGAGGAGAGAATTCCTCATCCTAGTCATTTCTTCAAAGTGGTTTAGAAATGAGAATGTACATTATTACATGTTGGGTCCAAAAAAGTTTTTCAATAAAGAATTTAATTTAATAATCTAAGACTGGCGCCCTGGGATCCTGGAAGAAGCAAATTCAAATGCTCTCTAAAGGAACCAATTTTCCCTCTACAACTCAAAGGATTTTTACAGATAAACTTCTAAAAAGTATAACTTTGCAGTCAAACATAAAAGGAAAACAAAGTATTATGAGAGAGAGAGGCAGATGGCAAAGTCACACAGCAGAATCATACCCCAGAGAGTTCTGACTCTATAATTATCAAATTGAATAAATAAAAAAATAGAAATGCAGAAATTGTCAACGAAAATTTAAAACATGACTAATTACGTGAAAACTAATAAGTAAACCTCTACAAATAAAAATGTATTGTTTAAATTTTAAAAACGAATCCATAGGTTTACTAGAAATAGATATAATGGAAAAAAAACAGATGACTGAGTTTGAATAGTGATCATAAAATAATATGTATAATTATAGATAACAATATTAAAACTATATATGAGCATTGAGTAAAAAGTCGATTATATGTGAAATTTGACCATGAGAATGAGAGAAAGAAGATAAAGCAAAGACAATATTTGAAGAGACAATAACTGAAAATGTCTCTAAACTGACAGAAGATCAAATATACAGACCCAAGAAGCTCTGTGAGTCTCAAGTAAGAGAAATAAAAGTGTTTTAGACAGCTTTTTTAGCTATTGTGAAGAAAAGATCTGAGCAGAACAACTGTAAAGGAGGAAAAGTTTAGTTGAGGGCTCATGGTTTCAGAGGTCTCCATCCATAGAAGTAGGCTCCATTCCTCCAGGCTCAAGATGAAGCAGAACATCATGGCGGAAGAGTACAGCAGATAGAAGTGGCTCACAAGATGATCACAAAATAGAGAGAGACTCCATACACTAGATACAAATTGTATACTCCAAAGCCACACCCCCAATGCCCACCTCCTCCTGCCCTATCCTACCACTTCAATTACCACTCAGTTAATCCCTATCAGGGGATTAATTCACCTTTTGGGTTAATACTCTTATAATTATTTCTTTCTTTATGAACCTTCTTGCATTGTCTCATAAGTGAGCTTTTGGGGGATGATTCACATTCAAACCATCACAAAAAGTAAACTGCAAAGAGAAAAGCTAGAGAGGGAACAGATCATTCTAAAAAAGCAATAGAATCTGGCTCTGATTTTTGTATTTTGCTGCTCAACGTTTTCAAGTCCTCGCTAAGCACTTAGCAAGACCCTGTCTCTAAATAAAATATAATAAAGGGCTAGGGGTGTGGCTCAGTGGTTAAGCACCCATGGGTTTAACTTTCAGTATTAAAAAGGTGTTTTCAAGTTCTCAATCTGTCAAAACTGATAAGAAAGCCCAATGGAATCCCTTCTTTAATACCAGTGAAATGTTTAAACCATGCAAACCTCGACCCCACAGGGCCACTCACATCCTGCTCACCC